ATATTTTTAAATATATGAAAAAATCAAAAAAATCGAAAAAATAAAAAAATCATGATTTTTTTATAAAAAAATCAAGTGATTTAATCACATGATTTAATCATTTTGATTTAATCATTGCCAACCCTGATTTATACATTATTTTATTTGACATGTGTTATTACTATTTACAATAATTATTTCAGAGCAGTAATTACAGTCACATTTAAAATGAAAATAATATTTGAAATTAATGTATGATAATGTGTGGTATTAAATATTTATATATCTATATTATTCTTTTTTACATGCATTGTTGCTAATTACAGTAATTATTTCAGAGCTATAATTACATTCTCATAAAAATGAAAATAATATTTGAAATTAATCCTTTTTATAATTTTTAAGGTATGATAGCTGACCAAGGTATTGTAATGTGTGGTATTATATATATACGTTATTTTATTTTACATGCGTTACTACTATTTACTATAATAATTTCAGAGCAGGAATTACAATCACATAAAAATGAAAATAATATTTGAAATTAATCCTTTTTATAATTATTTTTCTCAGGTGGTGCAGGGAGCGGAGCTGCAGGTGAGCTTGCTAGGTTCTGTCCACCAAAATTTTGAAAAAAACATTTGATACGAAAACATCTGATTTTTTTAAAAAGATTATTTCATTATTATTATTATTTCTAGAATCATCTTGGTGATTAGAGGAATAAAGTGTTGTAATTTTTTTTTCTTTACTTCAGAAATAGCTGTATATATAAATATCATGTAAAATGTAATCACTCCATAGCTATTGGTAATTCTTGTACTATATGAATTTCATTGGATTTATAACATGTTTATTGATATAGGAGATCATATTCATATATATGATTATAACAGCCCTCTATTGAAAATTGAAATTTAATTTACATTTTAAAAATGGTTAGAATTAGATATAATATCTATTGTTCAGTTGCATGTCAATATAATTTAAATAATTGTTGCATTATTACATACCTATATGATGTGCATTTATATACCTAGTTTATCTAATACATAATATGGCTATTATTCATCTTAAAAGGCTCCCAATTTAAATAATGTGCATTATGTATTACATATAGTAAGCTGTGCTTGTATATAGCTTATCTACTAATATATAATATGGCTATTATTCATTTTAAAAAGCTGGTAATTTAAATAATATGCATTATAACATATATAAGCTGATACATATAAGCTTATAGACTATTTATATAGTCTATTTAATAGATGATAGGCTATTATTCATTTTTAAATGCTGGTAATTTGAATAACATACATTATTACATGTAAGCTGTACTTGTATATAGTTTATCTAATACATTATACAGCTATTATTCATATGAAAGGCTGGTAATTTAAATAATATGCATTATTACATATAAGCTGTGCTTGTATATAGTCTATCTAGGACATCATACAGCTGTTATTCATATACAAGGCTGGCCGCTGCGGCTGTGGACGCACGAGCTGACGCAGCGGCTGCTGCAGAAGGTGCAGCAGCGCAAGCGTCTGCTGCTGGACCCCAAGCTGCGGCGCCGCACCGTCTACGCGGAGGTCGCGGCTGAGTTCCAGGTGCACTATTGTATTAATTTTTATTTATTTTTTATTTATTTTAAATGATATAGTATTCGTATAGTTTCTAAAGATTGGTTTACAAAAATAAAATATTATACTTTATATACTATACCGGTACTGCAACTCAGTTGTGGCTGAGTTCCAGATGAACTAAATGATCAATAATCATTTTTTTTTGTGTAGTAAACAATTTTAAAAATTGTTTACCCACACAAAATTAAATTGTTTTTAATTTTAATTTTAAATTGTTTACCTACACACTACTTAAATGTTAAATTAAATCAATTTTTTTGCTACACTAAATGATTAGTCAATTATTTTGTGTACGGTAGTTCCTAAAGATTCATTTACAAAAATAGAATATTATAATTTATATAGTACATACTATACTGATACTCAGTTGTGGCCGAGTTCCAGGTAAACTATAGGATGTATTATTTTGTGTATTAATTATTAATACAGTATTAATTATTTATTAATTATTTATTATTTATTAGTAATTAATTATTGGGATTAAT